CAACCCTGTTGTACAAGGTGAGGCACTAATATAGCCATTGACTAATAATCTGTCAGTATCTGACCTGTTTAAACTTTGTTAGAGCAAAAATAAGGGTCCTGTTTATAGTAGTATTGACAAATGGGAGAACACAGGATAATCAGCATCTCTTTTGATTTCCTAGAAACTCTTAACGCTGGGGCCTGAGCCTTGTCTTTTCCTTTCCCTGACTGGTTGCTTAATCTAAGTGTTTATTTCAGACCTTGATCTCTAACCTTGTGTACAATAGTACAGAAGTACAATTTAATCCTCATAAGACCTCTGGCAAATATGTAAGTCTTACTCCCATTTTACTAAAGTGAATAGGCACTCAAAAGATTTTTAAAGGACCAGCCCTAGGCTTCTCTAGCTCTAAGTCCAAAGTTGAGTTCTTTACATTATTGTACATGGCGTTAACTCTGATAGGTAAACTAGCCCCCTCAGGCCTGGGGAGTCCTATACGTCGTCAGGTGGGTAATTTGCTGTGCAGTTACAATAATGCATATTGTGTTTTAAAAATTTTGTGTGGACCCTGTTCTTATTTGATTTATTTTTTTTCTTAGGAAGATACAAGGTGTATGTATGATCTCTGGAGTTAGATAGCCTTGAACTGGATTACACTATTATCGTTTACTAATAGTATACTTTTAGACATTAACTTTTCCAAACTTCAGTCTTCCAATTTATGAAACTGGGGTAATACCTGCTTCATCAGTTGATATATTTATCCATTTATGCATCATAAACTCCCCTAAAACTTAGTGGTCCGGGAATGATAAACACCTGTCACATCATAGTAGGTTAGGAATTGAGAGGCAGTGCAGTGGGTGTCCAGGCCCCGGGTCTTCCCTGAGAGTTCAGTATGCTGTTGGCTGTGGCTATAGTCCCCTGAAGCTCAACAGGGCTCCAAGACACACTCTCACTGTGGTGGCTGTAGTGTATCACTCCAGTGGCCTCTCCAAAGGCTGAGTGTCCCTCTACCATGGCAGCTAACCTTCCCCAGGGTATGTGGTTCAAGAGCAAAGAAAAAGTCACAGTACCTTTTATGAACTAGTTTTCAGAATTGGATACCTTTATTTATGCTTTATTTTGTTCATTAGAAGGGAGTCACTAAATCCAGCTCACACTCAAGAGAAGGACAATTTGGTTTTGGCCCTTAATGTGTGACGTATTAAAGAATTGAAAGACTTTCATGTGGGGCTGAGCCTTAAGGGTCTTCTGAGTACCTGCTTCCTTCCTTGCTGTGGGTGCACTGTCCCGCCAGCCAGTGGGGCAGGAACAGGCACTTTTTTTTTCCTGGTACCGGGGATTGAACTTGGGACCTTGCGGTTTCAAGGCAGGCAGCGGAACCACTGAGCTAAATCCCTGAACCCGCACTCTTGATTGAGCAGCTACCATAAAGTATAGAGAAGTGATAGACCTTTGATCCAGAGGCTAAAGTGGCAGTTTTGTAACCACTCCCTTCAGGGGTAGAGTGGTATGGGTTCAATTCATGTTTTCTCTGCCTGGCACTCTAGTGGCTTTCATCATCTGAAGATGAATACTTAGGGCCTTGTTCTCCAGAGTGTGTTAGGTAGAGGGGGTTCTTACGCTTCATGCAGTGTTTTTTAGTCAAATGAGGCAAAAACACCAATTGATCAAACCCTTCAGAACTCTTTTTTATAGGCTTATACTCTGCTCGCAACTTGGTATGGTTTAGCTAAGCTCTGAGTACACTTTACCACATTCACGACAGAGCCACAATTCATGTCTTGTTGCCGGATGGCTTGAACCACTGGTGGTATATGTATGACTGTCCCATCAGGCAGCTTTTTATTAAGTTTAATAGTAAAAAAACTGATAAAAGTGATTAGACCTGTTTGTACCACCAGTGGTTCAAGCTGGCACAGGATGTGTAAACAAAAGTGTCTGTTGAACATTGCAACAGATGAGTTCAGGGGGAAGTGGTGTTCTCCTTATAAAAACTGAGGCAGGCACGAAGACCAACCCTTCCTCTATTTCTGACCTTTTCAGCCTGTGTCCTTGCAGAATAATGACTAGTTAGAGGCTGTGGAACTGTATATGCCAACTAAACTTTTAGTCTTATAGGCAGTAACTAGTTTGAGGACAAGTCCCCAAAGCAAAAGCTGATAGTATTGAATTCACAGTGCTAATGACATTCCTTAAATAATTGGCCCAGAGTGGGTGTTCTTTTAGAGGCAAAGGAGAATGAAAATGGGAAAATATACCACATGCAAACTGATTTCTGAAAATTCTGTCTCTATCCAAGGCCATATCCCTGAGCATCAAACTTGATTCTCAGCTGCCTACTTGTCAGCCTCACTTGGGCATTAACTGTGCATCTTGACCTTAAACTCTTGGTCTTGACATTACTATTACTGTCCTCCCAAATGCAAACAAAAACTAGTTGGAGTTTTCTATACTCTTCCTTATCTTAGTAACTGGCAAGTCCATTCTTGGCAGTTACTTAGGCCAAAACCTTGGAGTTGTCCATGACTCCTTTTTTTCTCGTGTCCCACATCCAGTTCATTAACAACTGTATTAATTCAACCTACAAAATACATCCAGGATCTCAGTGCCTCTGTCTGCTGCCACTGCTGTTGCCCCTACGCAAACCCCCTCTCCTGTCACCACCTGCTTGTTGTCTCTGTATAGTTGTCCATGTAGTAGTTAAAACCAGACTCACTAGTCACCAGTGGCTCCTGGCAGACTCAGTTTATAAATGCCAGAGTTACTCCAGTGACTTGCAAAGTCCTGGCTGATCTGGATCCCCAGTCTCTCTTAATTATTCTATCTTCTTGTTTACTGTGTTCCAACCAAATGCCTCTTCGCTGTTTCTCACATAACAAGCACACAAGTGCCTCAAGGCCTTTGCTTGTCTCTCTGGAGTGTTCTTCCTGCACACATGTGTGACCTCCTCCCTTATTTTCTCCACAATTGTGCTAAAACACACTTCATCAGAAAGGCCTTTCCTGACCCCTCTGTGATGCACCTGCCCTGTAGGAGTTGCTCAGCAAATGTATCGGCATGGGGTAGTTTTCCTGCTCTTCTGCGCAGTGTTTCCTGGCCTCACTATGATGGTGTTTTGGTTATGGTATAGTGTTATAGAGCTTACTCCTTAATACGTCTAGACTGCAGACAGCTCTGAAAAAGGATGACCAGTAGACCTGCAAAGTGACAGTGGCTAAGGGAAGTTTGGCTTGGGAAAGATAGAGACAGCCTGACTACTACTCCCTTGGTGGTAAAGAATTTTGACAGGAAAAACAAAATGTTTTTTACAACATCCAGGCTAGAAACCATTCCATACTGAGTGGTGCTGAGCAGGCTTCAGTTCGGCAGTGACTGGTTACAGGGGCAGCTGGAGGCCTTGCTGCTCCATTCCTGACCAGGTATCCCTGGAAGTTGAGTACAGGACCAAGTTGTGCCTCGGTAGCATAGTCTGTGAGAAATAGGACTTTGAATTGTTTGTTTCTAAGCCAGGAAAAGCCAAGCTAGTCAAAAGTAATACACGGGCTTACCCATGATTTAGTACGATTCAAGGGGAGTTTGCAGTCTCAAAGTGAATATTTTGACATTTATGTATCTTCAAGAACGTTGGGAGGCAGGCATTGTTGATAATTTATCCCCATTTGATAATGAATATAGAACCAGAGAGCCAGCAAATCTGGAGTTTGGACCAAAGCCTATTGATTATTTTGCTCATCTTGACCAACACAGTGATTTCTGGCCTACTTTGAATTTCACTGCTTTTAGGTAACCCATCAGGCATTAATTTAAAACATAGTTAAAAGGTTAAATTCAAAGAATTAGCCCCATCTCATGCTTTCTGGATCTTTGAAACTGACCTAATTTTTAAATTACAGCTGTTATTTATGTTTTCATAAGTGATCCCTAAAAGTAGGGAAGACTCAGTAGTTGGCTGGCAAATGTGGAAACTCCCGAGATTGGATTCACTGAGATTGTTGCAAATCAGGTGTTAAAGTCTTTTTTGGTACCAGGGATTGAACTCAGGACCTTGTGCTTGCAAGGCAAGCACGGTGCCACTGGGCTAAATCCCCGGCCCTCAAATCAGATTCTTAACCTGCTAACAAAAGCTTTTGAGACACTAGCTGAATTTTCCTGTTCATTCCTTTCCACTTATGACACCCAACTGGTCCCTCTTTCCCGGGAGGGCTATGGTCAGTGATGTAATCAAATAGCTTTTCTGCTTCATTGTTTTTTCATGCCTTTTGTAGGACTTGGTTTTACATATTGGCTCTGAACAGTCTCTCATTTTCTTTCTTTCTTTTTTTTTTTGGTACCAGGGACTGAACTAAGGACCTTGCGCTTCTGAGGCAGGGACAGTGGCGCTGAGCTAAATCCCCAGCCCCAGTGTCTCATTTTCTTAAGGGAATATGGCATAGGACATCCATAGTTGTTGTTAGTGCAGGTATTTTAAGGAAAAAAACTGGATGGGAAGGAGATGATAATGACTTTGTTTGCATTTTCTTTAACCACTTAAATCAGTCCAATTATGTAAATACAAGATGTCCAAAAATTGCATATATCTTTTGTTAATTTTCATAAGGTAACAGGAAATATGAAAACAATTTTATCAAATTTATTCAGTACAGGAATCAGCTGGTTGAAATGACACCTGCCCAAGCGATGCTCAGGATAGTACATAAAACACACTGCCCGAATGACACTCAGAGTAAACGGCTAAGTGGTTAAGGATAGTATAATTTAGGACAGTTGGACTGTGTCTTTTCCAGGAGGAGAACCACCTATGTTAGTAGAATCTCATACATGAGTAATCCTGATACCTGCTTCACTGGTTGCAGGGTGGAGGTGTGGAATGGGGTTGGCCTCATTACCCTCTTCTGACCTGAAATGCTCTTTATCAAAGCTGAAAATGAGGGTGTGCCACAGGCCAGTAGGTAAGGCCTTTGTATCCTGTTCAAAGTAGATTGCTGTGGTAACTGTGTTGAACTCTGTCACAGCTGCTCCTGATATCACTGGCCATAAACGGAGTGAGAACAAGAATGAAGGGCAGGATGCCATGATGTACTGCAAGTCAGTTGGCTACCCTCACCCAGAGTGGATATGGCGCAAGAAGGAGAATGGTATGCTCGTGGTGAGTAGGAGGAGCCCTGGGTCTCTATGCCTGGGTCTCTCTGGTTGCTGGAGTTTCTCCTAGGGAGGTCCAGACATCTGGACCAGTTGCTGCAACAGCTATACGTTGGATGTGTGCAAGGCCTGGGCTGGTCTTTTTAGAGTGGGGTGTGATTTACACCATGCTTCTGGAGGACAGTATGTGTCCAGCATGGACTGTCTGTACATGGTTTGTCAAAGCTGTCTGTCTGGTAAGAGATTAGATTGCTTGCCTTCAGGATTCAACACAGAAAGATAAGCCTAACCTTTAACACATTCTCAGGGGGGCTGTAATTCATATGTCTCATTGCTGGGCGGCTTGAGTCACCACTGGTATATGTATGACTGTGCCATTGGGCAGCTTTTTATTAATTTTATTAGTAAAAAGCCTGATAAAAGTGATTAGACCTGTTTGTACTACCCATGGCACAACCTGCCCAATGGGACAGTCAGGCAGGTACAACTGGTAGATGAAGCTGTTGGAAATGTGTATAAGTTTACTGTTATTCTAGTTCACTAGAGTACCTGTCTTATTTTTGAGGAAAACAAGGGTCTGGGGACAACTGTGCATATATTCAAAGAACTCAAAAAATACTGGTAAAGAATTGGGGTAACCTGAGGACACTGAAAGGCAGTCTTAAGCACTGGTAATTTGATAATACTTGCTCCAGAAAAGGTAAGGAGAACCTCGTTTCCAACCTGTGGGATGATTCTGATAATGTTTGGATAGCTGGTGCCTTAGATTAGAGGTGATGTCTGATTCTGTGATTCCTAACCAGTTTCCCTTTCTGTCAGGGGGCTGTGGTACATTCCTCTTATCCCTAGGCCTGTCTGCCCAACTTCATCCTCTTTGTGCACCCTCTTTGATTGTCAGTCTTCAGAATCAGATCATCTAGTCTAGCTCCTTTGGGAAAGTTATGTAGTAACCAAAAGGCCTGATCCAGTTTAGTTTTGTTTTTTAATTTCAAGTCCTGTTATTCCCATTCCATGACCTCTTGAGAGTAATCCTGAAGTGTTAATAGCAATTCCACATAAGCAGTGATGGCTGGATTTCAGAGCCTGTTGGAAAGGAAATCAGGAGAGTGGGGAAGTGATGTGAGTTGAGTCTTTTCAAGACAGGCCCATGAATGATCAATAAGACACTGGGTTTTCTGAGGTGCTAGCCTGGAAATGCCCATCTCTCTACTGGGCCCTGGGAAGGAGGGCCTGAGCTTTTGCCAAAGCAGGTTGAAATGACTCAGTGGGTATTTTCATCTTCTGAAGGCTGGACTTTGGAATTTCACTGTAGCTTATCTTTTGAAGGCTATGGTTTCTCATTTCAACCTTATCCTCAAACACAGATAGGATTATTAGAGTCATTTAGGGGATAATGTTCTCCTTTGTACTCTAGGCTGTTTGTCTTAGTTGTTGCAGGGTAGAAACACACAGGCCTGTGTTCACCTGCCTGGTGTGCCCTGAGATTGGTGCTGCACTCCAACCCCTGCTTCTGCACTGTGACCCCTCCTTGCGCACGCTCAGTCTCCCTCTGCAGGAGTGCTCCAGTGTGCTCCACAGGCTCTCCTGCGTGCTCTCCTGCAGATGTCAGATGTCAGCCGTCTTCTGAGTTCCTGCAGTGGCTGCTGCCTCTCTGCCCTGTCACATCCCATACACGTCTTCCCCCTTGAAGACAAATCCTTGTGTCACACCTCTCCCTGTCCATCTCACCTTCCCTTTAGAGGGATATCAAATGTGTAGTATTCACGGGTAGGTTATTTGTTGATTAAATAACCTTTCCTTTAATTAACCCTGTAGGTCTGAAGGGAAAGTGAAGTTAGGGATTTTCCCCACTCTTAAGAGCAAGTCTTAAAGTCTTAGCATTGTTTGTCGAAGAAGTTTAGATTCACCAAGCATGAAGTAAATCTGCTGACACTGATGTCATCAGACCTGAGGTCTTCAGCTGTTTGGTGGGGGAGAGGTCCTGCCCTCCTTCCCCATCCTCCTCCCGCTTTGCTTTCTCACCTGGTGTTGGAAGTTGCATTCATTAACTCATTAGTCTTTTCAGGGTCATCAGGCTGTAGTCCTACTTGTACTCTGGAGGAGGCCAGAGGGACCGGTGGCCTCAAAGCAAAGGAGGGGTGTGTGCCATGTTTCTGTCCGAAGTTTGTTGATTTATTGTTTTGGAGATTGATATTGAAGGGCATTCATCAATGAAGTGTTCAAAATGCTTTGAACAAAGACAGGACCCAAACACTGCTGTCTCTTTGCAGCCAGCATCTTAGAAATAGTGGAGGATGGCATCACCCTCCCTTGAGCACTGGCTCATCTACTTGGCCTTTGTGTGTCCCCACTTCTGCAGGACATTGTCAATTCCTCTGGTCGCTTCTTCATTATCAACAAGGAGAATTACACTGAGCTGAGTATTACGAATCTCCAGATCACAGAGGACCCTGGCGAGTATGAATGTAATGCGACCAACCCTATTGGCACTGCCTCTGTTGTCACGGTCCTCAGGGTACGGAGCCACCTGGCCCCTCTCTGGCCTTTCTTGGGAATTCTGGCTGAAATCATAATCCTTGTGGTGATCATTGTTGTGTATGAGAAGAGGAAGAGGCCAGATGAGGTTCCTGACGGTAAGAAAATTCCTCCAAAGCAGTAACATTGGGATGGGTTACTTGGGGGTGGGTTACTTGGGGGTGGTTCCAAAGAGGAATGTAAGGATGTTGGGATTCAGTCTCAAAGGAAGAAGGAAAATGTTTATACTGGTTCCTAACCTCCCACCCCTGAGATATTTTGTATTTGCCACCTAGATCTGTAATTAGCTCTCTTCCTATGTAGGTGTCCTTTGAAGTCCAGTCCCTGGCCTTAAGGCCATGCAGGGAATGGGCAGCTGTCGTCAGTCTCTTTGTTCAGCTCTGTCCTCCTTCAGTATAGCTCATCAGGCAGACTGAGTTTGAGAATTCAAGTCAACCCTAGAAGCCACCCCAAGATGGCAGGCTGCTTGTCCTTTCAGGTGGATTTAAGGTATCAAATTGTCACATGGTTGCCTGGTATAGCCACCATAGATCGCTGCCCCAGTTCTGTCAGACCATCTGAGGAAAGCCGCTAGCTTCTTTGTCTGTCCCTTTGCTAGGTGCCCAAGGGTTTCTACCACCTGGTTTTTCTGTCTGTCTCCCAGACAAGAATGGCAGGGAATGTCTGATACATCCATCTTCCCAGGTGAGATCAGTGGTTGCTAAGTGTGCCTGCTGGGAGCCTATGACCAGTGTAGGCCCCCACTAGCCCAGGGTCACAGAGAGGAGTAGATAGGGGCAGATTATTAAGCATTAGAAAGAGCAAGAGCTGCCTTACATTATAAGACATGCTTAGAATCAGTAAAGCATTAGGGAGGGATTTTTTATGTTTTGGTCATAGATTTTCCTATGATTGGAATTGGGGAAGCTCCGTATGGAGTCTGTACCAGTTTTGCTTCAGATTCCTGACTAGCTTCTCATCCCCACCTTCCTGCCCTCTTAACATCAGCAGTTGAGAAGCATGTGTGGCCCACCACAGAAGTGTGTGTCCCTGTGCTCATTGCTGGCCAGTGAGGGGTGATGGCAAGGTTGCCACCTATGGTCTGGCTGTCCTGGGGCTTATGCTGGTAAACTTGGGGTACAGTGTCCTGTGCCACCTCCACCCCCATGTATATCAGGTGAGGGCTCTTGCTCCCTTGGAAAGAGCTTGCCTCAGAGGCATGCCACTGCTACTAGACTCTGCAAGGACATGTTGGAGAGCAAAAACCACGTCCATCCTTTTCCTTTCTTCTCACCCACTAATTCCCTTGCCTCCACTTGGTAGTCAGTGCTGAGGTTGGGAAGAGGTATTTTGTTGACACTTAAGATGCCTGAGGGAGACCTGGTGGGCACCCCTCCAGGTGTACTCGGAGCTGCATGGCGGGCCAGGGTGGTTGTCACCTGGAAGCAGAGACGTTTTGCAAAGTGATCTACTCCCCTGCAACAAAAAGACAGGACTGCAGGCTAAGTGCCAAGTGAAACCTCCGTGCTTGTCTCTTGGGAGAATACTTTAAGGCAAACAGCTTTTACTTCCTTGTTTTGGATGGATTGGGGTAAAAAAATCGGTGATGTTGAAATGACTGCAGCACCTGCCTTCTCTGTCCCTTTCTGCCAGCCAGTGTGGCCAGGCTCCATCTCCACATCCCTGCCCTTGCCCCAGCATTTCCATCCCATAGTTTCTTCATCGGTTTCTTTCCCTTAAACTCCTCCCTGCTCCCACCTCCCTCCTCTCCCTGCCTCCTGGAAGTGGTCATTTAAAAAAGTTGGTTCTTCAGTGAGCTTTCCTTATGCTGTGTTTTTTGCCCCCTTTAGCCAGTTTCCCCTCAACTCTGATTAAATTCACAAGCAAGACAGAGTTGGTGAATGTGTTCTCCCCATTTGTTCCTCCCCAAATTACATTATAGATATATATATGTACACTGTTTTGGAATGAATGAAGAGACACATTCTATCTGATACAAACTTGGGGAGTTAGAAGAGGTAAAGTGCTGGCTTATTTTTGCCACCATGGAAATGGGAATTTTTTTGGTAGGCCTGACATGCTTTTTCACTTCTGTGTAGATGCTTTTTTTTTTGATACCGGGGATCAAATCTATGTAGGTGCTTTAATGTCAATACTTATTGCTCTTTTCAGACTGAGCCTTTTTATATGCATTCATAATACTCATATTTTGGACAATCTATGAGTTCTTACTAGACAAGCATTAAGTGGACAGTACAAAAGTATAAAAATACATTTAAACTTTAGAGTTTGAATGGATTTCACCAGAAAAGCTGTGATGGATTTTCCCTGAGACTGGACAGTGTGGGGGTTTGGCTGCCTACCTCCTGGCCTCTGCAGCAGCCATGGTACACATGAGTCTCACAGCTGACCTTTAGGGATCTGCTCCAGTCTGCGCGTCAGTACCTAATAACGTGTATTCAGGTAGATTCTCTGCATAATCACTTTTACACTCAGATTTTAGGAATAGCCAGATAAGAGCTTTAGTTTTTCACTCTGATTCTATTCCCTGAACCAATTTAGCCTTCCATCCATGGTAAGGCCAGACCCCTGCTGGGAGCACATCCGCTTCTCAGTGCTGACCGAATGCTTTCTTGGACTCCCTTCGCATCCCCTGGGAGATGCAGTGACACTCCCCAGCCACTGAGGTTTTCAGTCATGCTGGATGTTTTAGTGACCTCACAGACATTAAAATAACACAGCAGGAGGAGCTGATTTAAGAAAAAGAAGTGCTGAAATCAAAGAGTTTCCTGTTTTTCATGCTGGTACGATTCTCATAAGCAAGTCATAGGGATCCTTAAGTTACTGGCGGAAAAGATATTTGAGGGTTTGGGGTTATTTTTTTGATGAGTCTGATGTATCAAACTCATTACATACTTCAGATTTAAGCAGTTACAATGTTCAAAATCTATTAGTTGGTCAAAGTGTTTGATAGTATGTGAAGCTTTACAGCAGGTGAGGGGATGTGACTGTAAAATGATGTCCAGAACACATTCATCTCTTCAGCCATGAGCCATATGGGTCAGTAACAAGTTACCCTACAGAGAAAATGCTGCAGGACCAAATGAGAGGAAACTGGAAGTAACAGTCTCCCTGGGTTTAATGCTACTCTGAGATTAGGCAAAGTTGAAGTGGCTTGAGAACCACAAAAGCCCATCCTCTTTGAAGTGAATGCAGTGGCGCAGGAGCTTTGACCAGAGTCAGCTCTTGGTCATGTTGACTCTAAGCCATCTTTTTGGAGGTGACATTGTGCCAGGCAGTGCTCTTTACGAGACTTCAAAGAGCACCTTCTAGGCTGCAGGGTGGGTCCTGGAGGTGGGGTGAGGGAAAAAGGAACCTGAAGATAGAGCATACACTGGCTCCACCAGGAACTCCGCTTTGGGCAGGCGGATTCCAGATACATCTGTCTCATCCTTCCCGCCCTTGTTCTCTTCCTTTCTTCTCTGTGTAGTCCCCAGGTGGAAAGAACCTGTCATGGTTTAAGGTGCCTATCTTTGGCCTGAGGGTTTGGGGTATGTTGATATTTATCGGTTACTATGACTTCTTTTTTTTCCCCCTCAATTGCATCAAACCCTTAAAACATGGTGGTAAGTGAGCGATATGCATGCTTTTGGAGTTTGTTTAATCTCCGCTTCAGTCTATACAATGCACAGTTCATGATGTTAACACTTTCTTTCAAGTTTACTTCATTCACTTTCACAACTAATTTGGATTTCAGTTTGCTGTTTAATCTTCATTTACTTTGATTTTCATACCTTTTTTTCTGTAGTTCTGTTCTTTCCCTCTCTCCTGACTTCCCTATCAGGGGCCAAGTCACCTTTTTGTTTTTTTGGTTTTTTGTCTGACCTGTAAAGGAGAGCAGTGCTGCAGGTCGTGACTCAGTGCAGGAGTGGAGGGAGACGAGGCTCTTTTCTTTGTTCTCCTCAGTGTGAAAGTGGCTTTGGGGAGAGGGGCTCTTAGGATTTAGACTACAGTGTGAAGCACAGCTGCCACTTGTAGGCATGGCCGCTATCCCACAGGCACTATGGCTAAAATCCAACATGCAGCCCCTTGCATGTTAGCAGCTTGTCAGGTTGAAGAGTGAAATTTCTAAGCAGCCATCAGCTCAGACCTCCTCTGCAAAAGGAGGTCTGAGGTGCTTGGATTGGTGCCTACAGGGTCCTACTTGGAAAAGATTAGCCTGCTATTGTGATTCTCCCTCCTCCACTTTTTAAAGTTGGGAGTAGATCGGTGATATTCTTGATTCCTGTTGCATTAGAATTTTGTTTTTTGGGTGCACAGCCAGAGCACTAAAAATACTGTAAATTTGCTCCTGTGTCGTCTTTAGCTCCTAGCATGTAGCAGAGCTGGCTTGGCCAGGTGCTGAGCAGCAGGCTGCTGTTCGGGGAGGGTTTAGGCTGGGCTTGTGTGTCTCACTACTTGGTGTCTTTGTAGCTCTTCACTGCATACACAACACAAACGTCCTGGGTGTCCTCAAGTCTTAGTTCGTTCTTTGTACCTGTTTGATAGTGTGCTGTTGTTAGTAATGGACTCGTGGACACTGGTGTGTCGGTGTTGCTAGCCTATTGTTTTGGCTGATGAGTTGTTGGTTTGTGGTTAGTTCTTTTTTTTTCCTTTTTGTTTTTTAAATCCTCTTTTGCTCCAGTCACTGTGTGTGCTGGCAGTGGCTTTGCCTCTTCGTTGCCTGGAAGGAACAGGTGGGGCAATGTCTCCCTGTGACAGACATTACTCCCGACGTGTGCTCCTGCAGACGCCTCCACTGAGACTGTAACCTCATAACTGCTTCATGTGCACCAAGCCTTCTTGTGGAATCCTGCTGAGAGGTTTTCTAGACACCTTTCCTGCAAACTTCTGAATCCTTTCGTCCACCATACTTTATATAGTAAAAGCAAACTAAGAGCACTTAACTAGTTTTCTCCCCTTTTATCTATGCTGAAAAGGGACCAAGTTGCCCTTAGTTGAAACAGGAAAACCTTATAAATCAGAATCATAAATACCAATTTTAAAAGGCTTCTAAGCTCAGATAAACTTTATTTTAAAAAAAATCTCATGGCTGTTCTGGTTTTGGCCAGTACACAAAGAACGAGCCTGACTTTTTTATCTGAAGTCTTTTCTAGAGGGTTGTCACTGTTGAGCGCTTTGCAATGTGGCGCAGAACATCCTCTGGTGCTTGTTGCTGGCGTGGCTGACCCTGTAGTTGGTTCACTATTATAGCTTCCTCATCCTCAGCCTCACTTTCCAGACTAAGACTCCTAAAGATCACAAATGGCAAGAAAAGCAGGGTGCCTTTTGGGGAAGTGAGGATGTGTGGCTAAAAGGACAGAATGTACACATCCACATACAGTGTAGGACGGAGCCAAAAGTGCATGTTCACCACAAGAAAACAAACAGCAGGATTTTACAACTGAAATGTTGGTTTGTCTTCTCATCTATTTAAGAGTGAACCACTGGAACTTGGGGACAAGATGAGTATGATGATATTGCAGCCTATCTGTCCACTACAGTTGCAGTTTTTCATGACAAGCATTCAAAGTGTTAACTAAAACCATTGAACCAACATACCTGCCATTAAACTTGAATCTAGAAATAACAACTCCATGAGTGTTTTGCACCTCCAGATGGAATGGCCTTTAAACGCTATGAACAGCCATGTTTGCCACTTGCAGTTTGTTGTCCTGCTAATCCTTATGCAGAGTCTAACAGTTTTCTCCTTTCTTTTATCTCTTATGGCTTATTAAAAACTGAACACTCACATAGATGATGAACCAGCTGGGCCAATGTAAGTACTTTAGTGGACTTGGACTCCACAGTTTTTGATTGAATTATGTTGTATTTGTAGTTGAGTTAAATGGAGTGGGGAGGACAGTGAGTGCAATGTTGCAGTGAAGACTTCCTAGCCCGACAGTTCTAACTCAAGACCGTTTGATTTCCAAGGCAGGTCGCAGTCTTGTTTTAGCTGTACAGACGGGATACCATACAGACGTGGTTAGAATGTTGTGGCCAAGCTAATTTCAAGATGGACTGTAACATGGACAGACTCCAGCCTCATTAACAACTACTGGTGTTGTGAGATGGAGCTGCGAGTGTGGAATCAAATAGTGGCAGTCTCATAGAGCTGGGGACAAAGCAGCATGAGGCAGGCAGTGTCCACATTAGTGAAGGGCATAGCACAGCCAGTTGACTGTCTTCTCTGTTAAGTAATGGTGTTCAGTGGAGTAAAAGTTAATCTCAACCTTGAATCCAGTTGCAAAATCAGAGGGCAAGTTACCTCTGTTACCTACCTTGGGAGTCAAAAGCTCTCTTAAGGGGAGGTGCACGGGTGCTTTATGTTAAGAATGTTGTCAGGCAGTAATGTTGTGCAGTTAAGTGAAAAAGCCCTGTATTTTCATGTGTTACTTTCAAACCTTGTAACTAGTTTAACTCATGTAATGCAATTTTTCCCCCTAAAGGAAAACCAACTCTACCAACAATCACAAAGATAAAAACTTGCGCCAGAGAAACACAAATTAAGTACTGCTTACACTGTAAGTATGGCCTTTTTTAGATATTTAAAAAACTATATTCCAATGAATTGTGCTTCTGTTGACCTTTTTGTAAGTTCTTCAGTAGTTGGTGTTATATGGTTAGACCTCTGAACTTTTTTTTTTTTTTTGGTACTGAGGATCGAACTTGGGTCCTTGTGCTTGCAAGGCAGGCAGCGGAACCACTGAGCTAAATCCCTGGCCCAAACTTTATTTCCGAGCAGCTGATATTGACGAACAAGTTCTGCTTGCTGAGTGTAGTGGCTAGAAAGCAACATTCTTCAGCTGCGTTAGTTCACACATTTATGTAAATGCCATTTCAAAACTGTGTGTTTCAAAATAAATACTTCACACTACCATTTACTTGTATCTTTAAAAAGAGGTAAGAGGGCCAGGGATTTAGCTCAGTGGTTCTGCCACCTGCCTTGCATGCAGAAGGTCCCCCAAGTTTGATCCCTGGTACCAAAATAAATAAAAAGAGGTAAGAAAAGTAATTGTCAGAAAGCGGATTATTGTCAGAGGGCAAGACAAGGACGGTGGCCAGGATGCAGGGAGCCAGGGTGTCATCCTCAGAGGCACACAGAAATCAGAATTTCACACCACATCCCTGCGCATGCTGTTGGAACCAGAGCTTTATTTTATGGGGCACTTAGTGTAGTCCTGAGTGACAGCGCTTGTTTGTTCCCTTTTAATTTCCAAATACTTCTTTCTTTATAGATCTTTAGGTTCCTGAAACTGGTGGCATCATGACCTGCTCGACTTTCTGCTTGGACCTCTTTGGTCTCTCTCCTTCAAGTGAGCAACACCACAATGACCGTCTAAAGCATGCCTTATTTAGCCTCTCCTGTAAGGGTGACCTAGCCAGGTACATTCTAAACAATGCTTCAGTGTAGAAGGTGTGAACTACTTTGGGCTTGATGTGCTGTGAATGTTGCTTTCTTTCCTTTGTTAAAATATTTAAATAGAAGTGAAAAGGTCCTCAGAGGATCAGATCATGCATGCACCATTTTTTACTTAATGCAGCTGTTAAATTGGCAAAGCTCTAAAGTGCACTGCTGCCATCCAGTGGTACATTTTTGTAAAGTACAGCAAACCTACAGATATATACAGTATATAAATATATATATCTATATTTATATTTTTGGGGGTGGGAGAAATCCAAAATAAATGCTTGTTTCATTTTTAAGCTGCTGATATTCATTCCTTACTGTATGTTGTTGGATGAGGAAACTGTGCAGTTCTGGTACATAAAGATAAGTGATATAAACTGAAGTCTGTAATTTAAGGGCTTAATCAATGACTTTTAAGAAGCTGGAACAGTCCAGTGAATGGTTATAGTGAATTGCAGTATATATGTATGACTGCTTTTTAAGTAACTATTTTTTCTTTTGTTTAACCTGTAAATTCTTAAATCCTTTTGCACTGATATGTTGACCCTTACTCTTGTACATTCAATCAAGGCAAACTTTTATAATTTACCTTTTGTTTTCAATGACCTTGACATGTTATAGCATGGTGAGATTCTATGCAAGTAGTTATACTTTTGGTTTGACACTGTACTTTTTCGTATTGATTTAATGGTTGATGGTAGATTTTATAACCTGACCAGGTTCTCATGCAGTACATAAACTGTAGATGCATGTCCTTGTGTTTTGTGTAATTGTTGAAGTGCAATGATGTATAAAAAGTGGATTCACCTGTTTTTAACAATAAAATATTGATAAAAGGTATTTGGAATAATACTTTTTCAACACTTAATCAAAACTTAATTTCTCATCTCTGTCAGCTTTTTAAGTTCGTTTTCTACCTTTTCCACAAATGCTGGAAAGTTTTGGTCCATGAGGCACAGGCGTAGGAAAGGGCCTAACTCTTCCACACTCCATGCAGATTGTTCATAGGCAAGGGGCAGCTCCTCGGATGCCAGTATAGACTGCAGGGACAACAAGCAAAAAGCAATACTCTTCATTAGTGGTTTTAATTTGTACTTCCCTAATTGCTAACAGTGTGAGGCACTCTTCATAGGCTTATTTACCATCTGTATGTTTGCTTGGGTGTCCTACACTGTTTAAAAACTAGTTGACCTTAGGAAAGTTTAAGTCTGGCTTTGCTTGGCCTTCCTGAGAAGTGACAAGCTGGGCCCTTTGGAACTTTATGGCGACAGTCAGCTGCAGCTCTGTTAGGATCCACTTCGTCCGCACATGAATTCTACGAAATGTGTGGTTTAATTCCCGTCCTGTGCATGGCATAGTTTAGTACATAAGTATCCAATTGACCTTTCTCTAGGAGCTGTAATAGAAATTTCCTTTTCTTAATTCAGATTGCCTTCCAGACTGCCTAAAGGTCTAAAGAAGAAAGTGAAAGTAACATGGAGAGTCACTGCTAACATTGCACTCCCAAACTTACGTGTTACAGAAAGGGAGTCATCTTGCTATTTTGTAGCCATTTTATTTTATTTATTTATTTTTGGTACCGGGGATCAAACTCTGGTCCTTGCACTTGTGCAGCAGGCGGCGAAACCACTGAGCTAAATCCCCCGGCCCTTGTAGCCTTTTAAAAAAATAATATATTGTGAATATCTTCCCCTATCAAAGGCAGGGATTGGACATCACGTACTGATTACAACCTTATCCCATCTATGCTTATGCTGCACTTCAGCCCCTCAGTGTCCTATCAAATGAACCTCCTGATATTTTGTGTGTGTAGCTGAAATGGAATTATGAGTAACATGATACATAGTGCTAAATTGCTTTCCAAAAGGTTAAAGGAAGCAAGGAACATAAGAGCTCTGAGTCTTGTGCCTGTTCTCATTTGTACGTAGTTCTTCTGTATTACAAATAAACTGCAGTTAGGCACCACTCATAGCACCCGACATTCCCTCAGTCTCTTTGCAGCCTGGTGTCCTCAACCACTCTGATTCAACTCCTAACCCAGTGTGAATGGGAGCATTATGAAGTCTATGCTGCTCCTGGACACAGAAGCAGAACCGCCCAGGGTTACTGTAAGAAACAAACTTTATTTGGAGAGTGTACCCAGAGCGTGACGCATGCTAATAAGCACACGCTCTGCCACCACCCGCCATCCCCAGCCCACGTCTGCTCACCTCTTGAGTTAGTGGTAACCCAGATGGAGAAAATACAGATTTTCTTTTTGGTACTGCCGTTAGCACAGCTTAGTAAATCCATTAAAACAAAGTCATCCTTGAGTATTGACAAACATGCAGAATTCCACGGAAAGCACAAGCTGTGGAGTGAGCACCCACACAGTAGACAGGCCACCATGCAACCAGGACAGTGAACCAAGAGGTTCTGTGGGACTCTGGTGGTGGCAACCTACACGGTCTGAAGTGGCATGGCCGTGTCTTCCTGGGTGTCCACACTGAACAGTGTCCTACAGAAATCATTGCAAAGCTAACTCTAAACCCACTTACATGTTTTCGAATAGTTCCCAAATTTCATTTCTAAAGTTAACTCTTTCTGGGAAAATGGTGAATAAATTGTTTTCTCATATTCAACTAGTCTTCCCCTCTCCTGTCCAGTCTCCCACCAGGGTAAAGGACAATGGTCTGCCACACTGTACCACCTCCTATCAACATGCACGTTAGATTTCCATTCTCAAGCGTGAACAGAGGAATATGAGTCCTTAAACACCACTCTTTCCAGACACAGAACAGATCCTACCTGTGCTAACTGTGCTACCGAGGTCCTTCCTTCTGGAGCACCAACACCAGCAGCCACACATTTCCCCCGTTCCAGGTCCTGACAGGGCTGGGGTAAGGCAATATGCGGTCAGGAAAGCAGCGGAAGAGAATGGCAAACACCACAGGCCACTGGAGAATGGAGGCACAGGACTTTGCTTTTCAAGGCAATCTTTTAACTCGCCTCGGCAGAGGCCTATCCTATGGTTGTTCCCCGTCTACCACAGCAAGGGACTGCATCTGGTGGCCTGTCACATGCCACAGAGGCCCAGCTGGGCATCGGGCAGTACGCATGAAGCACAGCGTCACGACAGCTGTGTACTCAAGCCCTGCTTCTGATGGCCAAAATGTATTCTGACGTGAACTGCAGAAGTGCAAAATGGGAGGGGAAATCCTCGTAACTGTGTCCATTCTCCACACTGTTACAGCAGACACTGAGTGAGTAGGGATGGGAGCTACATGGCACAAGGTAGAGACGCTGCCCTGCAGGAACCCATAGCTTGGCCTGGACCACACCGGTCGAGGGTGCTTATCCTGCAGCGCAGGAAGCGAGGGTGCCAGCCATGAGGCCCCATCTCTAGTAGAACACACGGTGCTTCCCAGGGAGAGACTGGAGGCACAAAAGCCCCACTGCTCCTCCTTCCCTAGCCTCATGTCTGCAGGTGCTAGTGCTCCCAGTATCAGACATGAGCTGTTGGTGTGAAACAGGGAGAAAACAAGGTCCTCCCGAGGGTGCCTTTTCATTAGCACATCTGACAGGCAGACGATGCCCAGTTGTGACTTCTGTATGAACGCTGATGCTGCTAATCCACAGGTAGCAGAAAAATAGACCAGGAAGCATGAAAAAAGAGATAGTGGAGGGACAGAGGAAGAAAAGAACAAGGAAAAATAGTCAAGAATATTAAAATCAAAATAGGCCAAAAGGGGCCAGGGATTTAGCTCAGTGCTTTCGCCGCCTGCCGCGCAAACACAAGGACCCGAGTTTGATCCCTGGTACCAAAAAAAAAAAAAAAAAAGGCCAAAAGGCCAAGGGACCCTACAGTCAGAGGAGCCCTTTGACAAGGCCCGTTCCTCTGTTTAGTTTCTTTAGTTTCCTCATCTGTGAAATTAAGCTGGACTCCAGTGCAATGATCCTTCCTACTCTGGTAACGGATGCTTTCCTAGGACACACAGCAATTCAGCTCACAGTGTTCTTCAAACAGCTGAAAATGACGTTAGCTGAAATCCTGTGCCGCAGCCGCTAAACATGCAGCCATGTGACTTGGCCCAGGAGTCTGGTGGGGTTGGGTGAGTTGGTTCACCTGGCCAAGGGCAGAGGGAAGGAAGGCTCTGTCACACAGCAGCTAGACTGCTCTCTTCTGGATCTTCTGTGCTCTCAAAGGCAAGTTCGTCTACTAACTGCCAGCTTCCTTCCTGTTTCCCACCTCCCATTCTGGGGTGGGCTGGGTTGCCTCAAGAACCCTCAGGTTGAGAAACACCTGGTTGGGCCACAATTAACAAAATTACGGCTGAGGAAAAGTAAAACTAAAACATGAGCCAGGAAATGACTCAAGACATGAAATTATCCCAATTTGCAAAGAAGGGAACTATTTTAGACTAAAAATATGCTGGTATTGGAAAAAGGACACACCTGAATCTATGGGCACAGCAAAATGACCTGAAATCCTCCCCTACACACACACACACACACACACACACACACACACACACACACTTGCCACTCAAAAGATAGAAAGGTAGCGTGATACCAAGTTTGTACCCTGTCACTAAAGCCAAGGTGGGAATGTTCTGTCATCATGGACGACTGAGCTGTTCCCGGCCCTGCTTCAACATGCTGTACCCAGTGGAATGAACCCAGTGACTTCAGACCCTGGATCTTCTTGTGCTCCCCTCAGCTCTGGAGGTTCTGCCTCTTGTTACTTAGGTCTTTGACCTGGATGCTGATTTGTGTATAAGTGAAGGCACATCTGAAAACATGAGTGCTGGCAGTAACAGTAATGGATAATGTGACTGAGGTCACATCAACTCAGCATTGTGCTCTGTGCCTTCTACATGGACTTCACTGTATGTTTTGGTGACTCACACAAGATCACACAGCTATCAAGAAACTGGATCAGGATTCAACCTAGATCTGCTTGGGTTCCAAAGCCTGTGGTCTGTGCCCAGCATCATACTGTCTCATTTATTCAGAATACCAAAATACAGACCACAAGAGTCCCAAAATGGAGAACCAAGAAAAGACATCAGAGTTTAATAACCACTTACAGGCCATTTCTACTTAGACCCCTGGGACCAGCCTGTAACATCAGGGTGCTGAAGCTTTGGGTGCTGCACCAGCTCACAGCTCTCAGCCTGCATGTGCTACTACGTAGTACAAATGCAATTTAGTTTGCATTTTTGGATACGTAGATAATTGGGTAGATTGATGTGTCTTTACCTTTATAAGGCATTCAGTCCTAGTTCCCAACTCCTGGGACCCAGTTGGGTCCTGGCCACACTCTAGGCATTGTGGATATTGTACCTAATCTGACTCTGCTGGCCAATGGAAACTGAAAAAAAAAAAATTTATTTAAAGGGCAAAGATTCCTAAGCAACAAAGTACCTTATGAAGCAATAAAACACTGGTTCCATTGTAGGGATGGGATTCTTAAAGATTGTAGCAGGAGTAATGAGCATCTTCACAAAAAAAGATCAAAGGGAGGGAAAGAATTGGAAAACACCAAAAGCTGGCAAATGAAACACATTGAAGAGGAAATAATGTAGCACCTGCTTAAAGAAAAAGACTTTATAATGTTCATTTATGTTCACCTGAGATAAGCTGTGAATGACAAATTTTGTGATCAAGCAGCAGAAATGAATTGTCTTGATTAAGGGGAACAGGATGAAGTAATGAAAAGATCAGGTTTGGAGAATCATTTCTCAAAGTAGAAAATAAAAACCCTGCTTAAAACTGGAATTCCACCCCAGAAACAGAAATGCATGCTTATTCTCACATTTGAGTCTGCTGAAAAAATGCTAGAATATGTATTTTCAGAAGAAACTCTACAGCAGGTCTCAAACTTGTGATCTCTAGACCCCTTTATATATAAGCTTATAATTACAGAGGCCCTCAAAGACTTCATTTGCATTCATGTGTATCTGGTATCTATATTAGAAATTAAAACAATTTATTCTTTTTAAAAACTTCAAAAATCACGTTATCATTTTATGAAAATAACTTTTCTGAAACAATATAATGCTTTCTGTAACTCCTGCATATCTATCACTGGAAGGTCACTGGATTCTTACACCTGCCTCTTCATTCAACCTGCTGTTACAAGTTGTTTTGGCTGAAGTCCATGAAGAAAATCTGCTTTTACACATATATGAAGATGGAAAAGGAGGAATAATTTACAACAGGCTTTTCAGATAATTGCAGGTATTCTTGACATGACACCAGAACATAATAAGTGGTAGCTGCTCCAAGGTTAGTTGCAACACAGAATCTGAAACCATGGTAATGAATCTGAAACACTGTGTTACATTAAAATCCACTGGCCTATCTTGCACTTGAAATAGCTTTATTCACAGTTTTGTAGCAGCATGCATCAGTCATCTGGAAAATACTGGCTCAATGAACGATACCTATCTTCCAAACATTGACACATTGCATTGCCTCGTGTCATTCATTTGTTTATATTAAGTGAGTCAAATTCATCAAGCAACCTCAACAGTGTTCTGGGTAAGGAAGGTGCAAAGCTCGTGGTTCAGACTCCACTTGAAAGCTTACTCTCTGTTGTTATCTGGAAGTGAGAGGCTCATGTCTTTCATTTGGGGGAACATGTTCACCAGACACCCATCTGAATGACCCCAATGTGTCCACTGTGGCGTCCGTGAGAGGAGAGGCCAGTTCAGCTCCCAGCATAAGCACCACTTAGGCGCTGTCACTGTCCTGCAGGATGCCGGGGCCTTCTGCCCTGGCAGTTTGTTCTGCTGCAAGTGACTGGTGAGAGATTACAGCTGGTGGTGTGGGGCACTGCTTGGTCTTACAACAGCTTTGCTCAGTGCTGTCATCCCACTGGTACAGATGCTGATGCAATGAAAATGGAAAATAAGGTCTCAGGGAGAGGTGGGCCACACTGTGAGAACTGTTCTAAGCAAACCTTTCGGCATCTATTTTGTAGGATTATAAACAAATAGTAAGTGCCAACCTTCAAATTTAAAGCTGTAGAACATTAGACTTCTAGAGCTACAAACCCAGTGGACCTACCGATCCCAGTGCCACTGGGGTGCCCACAGTTCATCCTACCAGGTTCTCGGAGTAGCCAGCATGCTTGCCCACTCACCCCAGGCTGCAGCGGGATGCTCTTCGCACAGTCCCTCCCTTGGTGGTCACCTGCCCACAGCAGGCCAGGACTCAGCCGGGTGATACTGTCTGGCACCTCGACGGTTGTGTAGCGGGCCAAACTTTGCACACAGCTGCAGCAGTGCTCCAGGGCCTGCTCCTTTGATTCTCCGCCAAACTGTATGCGGAACATGCGGCTTTTGTTCTGTTGACAAATGAAAAGTCATCTGAGAGACCCTTGGATTTTGATTTATTGTGGGGTCACCCATGCTTGTTGGTGCAGCTGTAGAAAAGCCAATCATTTGTTTTCTTCCCCATTTTGGAAGCTGTTCTTCATGCTGAAATTCATTTCTCTCAAGGAACTAGCAGCAGCAAAAATGTTAAAGCCCATTACCATGAAGGCAAGGAAGGTCACGATACTGCAGTGGAAGATCCATGTTTTATCTTGCTTTGGAATACAGATTTTAAAGCTGCAGATTGCTTAAATGGAAAATCTGAAGATAATACAGCTAGTCCTGGCTCACTGAAATTTTTCTAACCTAAGTAAATAAAAAAGCACACTAGGTAGATGTCACATTGTGCAAGGCAGTGAGCTGCAATAACACTGGGGAGAAGGAAACGGGTGGCTGCTGAAAGCAGATGTAGTGCTCGTTAAGAGCCCTCGGTGCCCTTTGTCTTTTGGAGGCCGGACCACCACTGCGTCACAGGACAGTGGCCCACAGTGTGCTGTGTGAATTACTTCCCTTCAGTACGGCAGAGGTGGGAAGGATGCAGTAAAAATTTCTTTAAAACCTGGTAGCTACATCAAAGTTATTGGAATATAAGTTTAAAAAAGAGACCCAGATTATAAAAACATAAGACCATTAACTTAGTAGTTTCCTCCTCTCCTACTCTAATATTCTGCCTAGTTCAGGCAAGTCAACCAACATAAAAGCCAGCCCAAACAGGATTGTATATTTGTTCAGTTTGTTTTGGCTTTAGGCTGAAGGTTCTACTACCATTTCATTACCAAAAATACTCATCATTCAATTCTTTTTTTCATTTACTTTTTATTAGTACATGTTTGTAGGACATAACACATTCATCTCAGGGAACAGATGTGTATACTTAACACATCTTAATTCTTTTTTCCCCTTTCCTTTCCTTCCCACCTCCCTGTTCAGTTTCTTCCATAAAGAAATGCAGGTGTTTAGCACTGTATGTCCTTTTCACTTATTAAATATATTACACTGCTAGCATGAAAGCACTTCTAACCGCAGTGAGAATCCTAAAAGTTCCCATAAGCAAATAGTTCTTGATTTTCCTGCTCATTGTTTATGCTGTTTAAATAAACACATCAAAGCCACCCATTTGGGTTCTAGAAAACTCATGGTGGGCTCAAAAGTGTAAGTATCATATTCAGAAGAGCAGGTGCTCCTAACCAATAATGAGAAAATACGAAAAGGAAATATTCTAATATGTACGTATATGTGTGCCTATTATGTACACATAGCAGAAAACTTATTTTTATAGGTCATGTACATAATATGTAATATGTAGGTTATATGTATTGTGTATGTATATCTTTACACTGCTGTTCTGTAGCCAAATCCCTTTTTAACAGTCGGTATATAAAATAGATGTACACCTCACTACTTTCAAAGGCTGAAGAGCATTCCTTTATTTACCTGGGCCCCTGCTGACACTGAGGTTACTCCAGCCTCCTTCCTATTAAACACCACCACTTCTCCACAAACACTGCTCTGGATAAATGCCTGAGAAAGCAGGCTTGCTGCATCAGAGTGCCACATGCCCTGCAGCAACAGGGCCGGTTTACTCACTGGGAGCAGGTGCCCATTCCCTGCACCTCCAACCCAGGATGTTCTTACTCTTGAGTATTTGTCAACCTGCCAGGTCAACAGATTTTTTAAATTTTATTTCTTTGATTACAAGTGAGGTTGAATATTTTCCTGTGCTGACTGGTTGTCTTCCTTTTGAGTCATAGCCTTACCCATTTCTCTCTGGGATGGGTGATCCCAGTGGGTCAAGAGTCGTGAAAAGCTAGCTTTCCCTGAGGAAGTGAGGAACTGATGGGAGAACTGTAACTTGGCATACAGTGATATTATGAGTCCTCTCTCCTTACACTGAGCTGATTGCCTGTTGCCAGTTAATTAGCTATTTCCAACTCCCCCTACTTTAGATGCTGTATGAAGACACCTACATGAAGTAGCTCTGTATTAGCCACTTGTATTTGGATTCTGTAACTATCTAAGCAGCCCTTCATGTAACAGCACATCAAAAATGGTACCTTGTCACTATCTAAGCAATGGCACACAGAGACATAAGTGTATGAGCAGAGCAAAGATCCAAGACCAGTTACGGTACGTAAGCCTAGAGGCGTCTATGTGAGTGCACTGAATCTGTCTGGGTGGCTCAGGTTTCTTCCGGGAGTAGTTAAAAAATGATGGGGAGGGCTGGGGATTTACTTAAGTGGTGCTGCCGCCTGCCTCGCAAGCTCAAGGTCCCGAGTTCGATCCCTGGTACCAAAAAATAAAAATGAGTGGGAAATCTGATGGTGTTGGTCTATGTTTACTTCTATACAATTCTCAGAATTTAAGCTTATAATATGAAGCCACAACTACCACTTCAGTGCATGTGGACGCAAGATAACACCCACTAATCAAGAAAACTGGAGACAGTTTGTTCTTTCTCCCGAGCCTCACTGCTATGGGAACAATGGAAAACTTGCTGTTGGATTTGAAAATCTCCATGGTAGGTTGAAAATCTTGATGAGATTTATTTGTATGGCATAAAGTCAGAAAGAGCTTCCTGCTATGAAGTGGCAAGTTTTCAAGTATACCAAGAGCCAGGAACTGCCCCAAATAGTCTCCAGTTTCCACCACTTAAGGAGATGAGCTCAGAATTGCTGTATTTTAGGTGATAGTTTATATGTTAAGCTCTATTCATCTTTCCTCAAAATACCTTATCTCAAGTTATAAGAACTTTTAGAAAATTCCATGATATACAGACTCCTGGAGGAAACAAGTACTTGTCTCTCTACACTTTCCTACAAGAAAAGCAAGGCTTTACTTCCTGGGAGGAAGAAGCCCATGGAATGCTCCCACTGGTGTGAACCCCATCTACCTGTGAGACACTTGAACCACAACTGTACAGCCGATGGTACAGGGTCCCGCCACACCTGTACAGCTGGATGCCCAGGGGGCACGAGAGCCAAGGTGACATTAGAACCCCCATAAACCCAATATGTTAGTTTGTTACCATATTAAAACACGGATCTGTAAACTGGTGCCATATGTGCTTCCTTATTAACACCCAATTAAAGGAGCTGGTACCGGGACTACTAGTAACTAATTTTGAGGTCTGATGAATATAAATGACACTGAGACACCTCAGTCCACTATACTGGGTATGAAAGTACCTGTGATTTCCACTGATGAGAGGGTCTAAGCTGTGGTCTGCTGACTACATCAGAACAGAAGGCAATAACAAACTAGTCAGTGAAAACCCTTGTAAGTTCAGAGATCCTCTAAACTCTGGGGTCCCCCTGGGTATCAGTACACCTCAGGTCCATATCCCTGCATCAGATTCTCTTCAAGATTTCTTTCAGTTCTTAACATCTGTGAGCCCATTAGACATGAGTACCTTTCACCTACATTTCAATTATCATTTACTCAGTAAATGCTAACACATTGGTTTTTATGATTATTCTGAAAGAAATTCAGGTGATTAGTATACATGTTTCTTTGATAAGATCATTCTTTATGATTAATACAGCTAGAAAGCAAATAAAAGTTTTTAAAGAGAGAATTGAAAAGACATGTGCAGAAAAGTATTCCAAAATGTACAACTTTAAAAACATCTAAATTATAGCAAATGAACAGTGCTGTCCTCCACCTGTTCCCAGTCCGTGCTTGGGAGCTGAGAGGCTGTGTGGTTCCATCAGACTCATGGTGACAAAGCAGTCAACAGCCTACACTTGCTAGTGAGGCTTCTGCCTCTGCAGCCCTTGTCTCCTGCCTTGCTTTTGATGCAAACCCTCCTTCAAGGTGCAAGTTCTTCCAGCACCATCTCATCTCCAGAGAAGTCCCCCCGCCCGCCCCCAGCACACGCATGCAGAACACACACAGGAGATGAGAAGTATGATTCTAGCATAAAAATAGTTGGCCATATGGTCAACTTGATCTTGCCTTTATCGTTGCTCCAAACAACAGACAGTCCATGCGTCTTACAATCTTCAACCAGTTCTTGCTACCAATGAGTGAAAACCCTTCCTGAAACAAAACAATTGGGCAAAATTAGCAACAGAAGCAAAAAGGACCAAGAATAGCTTTGGTACAGCTGCTTCCTATTAGCAGGCTGGGCACCTGTTCATTCCGTAACTTATGCACAGTGGAGAGGACCAACTGCAGGGTGACCTTCACACCAAGGCCCTGTATCCTGGTGCACTTCTGCATGACAAACATTAAGGTTTTTCTTTTCTTAATATTTCATATCGTAATAAAGGAAATACCCCAGATAGTCAATGTCCATAGTCATATCTGCTAAAAATGCATTTCTATGCCTCTAGAATTCACCAAAATACAACTTTCTATTCCTGAGAAACAAGAGTTTATTATTCTGTCTTACAAATTTAGTGGGCACATCCCTATACACAGCGAATTTTATTTTCAGATTCTTATGAATGGGAAATTTGGATTAAATGTTCAGTTCTTCATTTCCATGTGAAACAACAAACCATTCAGAGGACGGTAGAGGGCACACAAGTCTCAAGGAGGACAGCAGCTGGCTTCTCAAGGTGGAAGGGTGAACATTAATCAACCACACAGAACAGACCACCCGATGAGTACAGCAGCTCTTAACACTCAATCATGTTCTTGCATTTCCTCCTGAAGCCGCCAAAGCTGGACTGTGTTAGCATCCAGTAAAACTAACCCAGAGGCTCCACTCACGCAGTCTGTAGACTACATATGAGTGGCCTTTCTGCCCTCATGGGAGCACTCTTGAGAAAGGCCTTCCCTAAATCCCTCTTCCTAAATCTCAGTGTTAAAATCTGTGAATTCCAGACATTTCCTTCCTGGGAAAGAATGTGGGTTAATTCTTTGATGTTTCACTTAAAGAGTCAACTCGAAGATGCCAATTCTAACAATTTTATCCCCAATAGTAGGTTTTCTTTTTTTAAACAAAAAAGTAAGTTAGGCAAAGCATTTGTTACATCATCTTAAAACTTTCAGTAAGATGAAATGTGTTTATCCCCAAATACAGAGAACTGTAGTAGCAGATGGCAGTGCATGGGAAAGTGATGCTCACACACATTGCTGGCAGAGTACAAACAGACGCACTGCTATGGAGGACAAGTGGGTCTCGTCGCAATTACAAATGCACTGTGACCTCACAACCCAAGTGCAGGGGATTCATCTTATGGATCAGCCTGCACACTTATGAAGTGAGGCAGATGATGTAGGGCACCAAGTAATTAAAAAAAAGATACAGGGCAAGTAATCCAAATAAGCAAAAATAATCCAAACAAAGAAAAGTATTATAACTCCCAACCTGCTAGATAACGGAAACGCGAGTTTGTGTTCTCTAAAATCGAAGAATGAATTCTAGGAACAACAGAGGCTAAGAGTAGGAAAAATTTATTGAAAGATAGTTTCTAAGAGAGACACAGAGGGGACCAGAAAGTGGGTTGCCCACCCACTCCACTTTTCAAAGGGGTTTTATAGGGCAAAGCCACAAGATGAGGCAGGTACAAAGTGAGACAAAAATGTAAGACCCAATGGAAAATTATGAAGTGGGACAAAACCATGACCAACCAATAAGATTATAAGTATAGTCACCCAGGTGATTGACTGAATGGAGATCAAATAAGAAAACAAGCCACATATAAGGAATTTCTGGAAAGGAAACGGGCTAGGGAGATTGATATCTATTTAGAGTATCAATCACTGCTATTCATCTCTAGGGAAAGTAAGTGTAGTTTATAATGTTAACCAGTGAATGTACTTCAATTGTTTTTCTATGTTGAGGGCCAAGCTTTGTCTAACTGCCTTATAATAATTTTTAACTAACTTAGTTATCTACAATAAATGAACAGAGTTAAGCATTATGGGTTTTTAAAGGACTGGGAACTCAAGGATGCGTCCAGGGAAAACTGATGAAAACTCTGTACAGTGGAATATTGTACAGCTGCAAAAATCACTATCTTTGAAATCCAGTGTGCACTTTATGTTTATATATTCCTACATTTTATACTGCATCCATTTTAAAATCTAAGCTAAAATTCAATTTTAAAATGTCATTTCTTAGTTACATCAGCCACATTTCAGGCTCTCAGTAGCTAGTTACATATGGTTCATAGTGGCCGTGGACAGGATAGCTATATAGACTGATCTCTAGGAAATACTGTGAAACAAAAAAAGAAGCTCCCTTCTCCTATGTCCCATACAGGCTGGGCTGATCAGACATCTCTTGCTGTTTCACCCTCTTGAAATGCCATATGCACCGTGGCCTCTGCAAGTGGCAGTACACACCAGCAGTCACCACACTATAGCCTGGCACTGTTCGATGCCTCTTCTCACCCTTCCCCTAATGCCAGCCAACCCAAAGCTCTCCATTCTCCCCACTCACACTTCCACTGCCTACAGGGAGCTGCCTTTATTTCTCCCCTGAATTTCTGCAGTACCCTGCCTCAGTGGTGGCGAACCTGTGGCACATGTGTCGCAGTGGGCTGTTTCTTATAACTGAAAGCTCTAAAAGGTTCACCATCACTTCCCCACCTGGACCCCTTCCTCCAGGCCCTATTCCTCATACAATATAACTATGCTACTGCTACAGCAGTCACCAGAAACAAAACCCTGCTGGAGTGATTTCATTGGAGGAAAAAGCCCAAGTCCCCTGTGCATAGAAATCTCCACATCCGGCTCTAACTCATTCAGATTTCCCTCAGCTCTTGTACAAGCCCTCCATTAGACAGACTAAATTCCTGAGGTCCTGTGGACGTGCTGTGCTCCTCACATCTCCCTTCTGTTATTGTGCAGCTTGTTCTTGGAACCATCTTCCTTTCTCAGAGCCCAGAGTGACCTCAGCCCCACCAGGCTGTGCTGTCTTATACTTACTTTTTTCCCCCCCTGAGAGGAAATGAGGGAAGTCACCCTGTAAGACATGCAGTCCTACCCTCATGTCCCCAGCAACTCACATGTTTAGTAACTGCTCTAGCCCCAGGCATGCTGGAGAGGGCATGAGGCAAATGCTGCTCACTGAACTGCTCTGTGGTTCTTCTTCCGTCTGCCAGACCATCCTACCTTGGAGCTTCCTGCTTCTCTCTGGTTCTTCTCCCTGTCTTGCCTGACTTACCTCCTCCTCCAGTTGTTCATTTCACCCTAGCTTCACTGGTCCCATTACACTTCCCCTTAACTTTTTTTTTTGGTACCGGGGATCAAACTCGGGACCTTGCGCTTTTGAGGCAGGCGGCGGAACCACTGAGCTAAATCCCCGGCCCTCCTCTTAGCTCTTTTTCCTTTCCTCTAATCTGTGTGCGTCACGGCTATCTGCTGAATGTCTATTTTTTTTCATTACGCTGCAGGCCTCATGAGGGCAGGGGCCCACCATGTCCTGCTCGCTGCTGAACATGGAGCGCCATTGCAGCGTCTGACATTAGGAATGCGTAGAAAGCTTCACAGTTCGAGGGATGAGTCAACAATAACTCAGGCCAGCGTCACTTCTCAGGAGCAGTGCCATCCACCTGTCCAGTGACACGCAACATCTGGTTTCTGATTCACATTAGCCTTATTCAAAATTTAGAAAGAATGCCTCAGCCCTGCACTGTGGGAATAATGAAGGCCGTGTACCTCCTCACTCAGAAATTCCCAGGTTTAAATGATGGATACTCCTGTCGTTGGGAACCTCCCACTCCTAGTCTCCTCTAAGGCTTGTCCTTGGGGCGCTCAGGCCGGCTCTCAGCTCCTGGGTGAAGCCCATCCCACCCGTCTAGCCAGTCACCTGCACTCCGCTCTCACTGCTGCTGCAGTTCACTGCCTGACCTCTGCCCTTGACCAGCCACAGTGCAAACGGGGTGGGGGTGGGGGGCACAGAATCTGCCCTGGGGTGGGGATGTGCCTGAATCACCCTGGGAGCTTCTCCGATTGGTGCTTGTGATACTGTCCCCTTCCAGATCAGAATCACTGTCATCAAAGCCACCATTCGGGGATGGGAGTCTGTCACAGCCCCGGAAACTACTGAGGTAGGAAAATGGCTGAGAACTGATAAAATGGGGTAGAAAGGGAAAGAGTGGAGAACACCAGAAAGTGCCCCCTTCACCACCACACAAAAGAACAGGAGCCAATGCCAAGAAGCAGTGTCTGGAGGATGCAGTGTGGGAGCAGAGGGGGACGAGGTCCAAGCTGTGCAAGGCCAGCAGTGTCGTGTGGGCACAGAGTGGACTGAAAACCCTGGCTGAGAAGTCTGTGCAGGATTCAGCACTGCGCGGGGTTGCTGTGCAGCCCCTCGACTCCTTCCCGCACACTCCACATGACTAGGAGCACCTTTTGTTAGTCTGTATCCTGCACATGGCTTCCCCTGCCTTCATCAGACTCTAACCACCCTTCCTTCTGCCCAGTTCTGGCAGGGTCCCCACAGGGCAGCGGCCAGGATGGCACCCGATTCCAAGGTGGGGCACCAAACCTGCACACAGTTTTAAGCTTTGGCTTTCATCATTACACACTGGCGTTCGCGTCTAGGTTCCAGTCACCCATGTTCTTCTGGGCCACTGTTGTGACATATAATTACAGTTGCCAGAAACAAGAAAGCAGACATCAAGGGAGAGGAGAAAGGACTGAAGTTAAAAAGATGCAGGTATCAGATGCACAGAACTGGGAATCCAAGCATGCAGAGAAACCAGCTGTGCCCTCCCCCCGAGGACTGTTCCTTTGCTGTGACCTGTCACCAAGCCTCGCTTCAGTGTGGCACATGAGCCTCTCAGTCTGACTGTCCGCTAGCGGGGGAGGTCACTAATACTCAGTGAGGCAAATTAGCATCAAAACCATGCCAGGGAGACTTCATAAATGCTTTGAAGAAACACAACATTTAACTTTTATGGAAATAACAATTAAAAGTGTTCACACCTGCTACAAATACCCTTATTCAGAGGAAAGCGGCATCGGAGACTAGGGTTACAAAAATAACTCTATGACTTAACTGTTTAGCAAGCCACCTCGTCCCCAAGCCCAGAGTACCAAAGGGCTTCTTGATGAATGTGAGATGGTGTTTCGGTGCC